ACGCACTGATGACAAATGCTCAGTATATAAGATAACTTGTTTAACCATTGGAACATATTTTACAGACAAGGAACTTATTTCACCAGGTGAGGAACAAATCTCACAGACCTAGAACTTATTTCACCAGGTAAGGAACAAATCTCATAAACCTGGAACTTATTTCACTAGGTAGGGAACAAATTTCACCACCCCGGTACTTATTTCACCAGGTAAAGTGTGGAACAAATTTTATAGAGATGGAACAAATTATATAGAAATCATCTGTGAAAAAAGTTCTCCCAGAACATATTTCCTGTGATATTAGTTCCACTGGAACTTTTTTCACAGGAACAAATTTTGGCTCATACTAGCACCTTAAAGTCTAGCTAACCCACAGGACGGCTGGCTAGTACATTAGCAGACAGGTATTTTTAATACCATTAGCATTTTTTAACTTTGGCATTTTTTCATTTGGCTTTTTGCTTTTACATGTTGTTTTACTATTCATATTTTTATATCATTTGGCATTTTTTCATCACTTTAAAATTGAGAGTTAAATATACACTTTTGGCATTCATAATGTTTATCAATCAAAATAGCATTCTATTTTTTAAATTTACATTACACAATATGGCTTTCTGTAACTTTGGCTGTTAATCTTTTGTATGAATGCTATGATGACCATTATGTGTAGAAAATAAGACTACATTTCTAAAAGTGGCTCAGTATCATATGTTTATGTTTGGTATCAATTAGTTCTAAATTTCCTTCATATTTCTAAAATGTAAATTCTTCCATTTCTGGTACATCTTATAATATTGTATTCATCTACTAACCCAATCTTCTCATAGGGACTTAACACAAAGCAGAAAGGGTATAGGTGGTAGGTGGTTAAGGGTGTTACGAAAAAGTGAAAGGGCAAGAAAGGGAGGGATAAAAAATAAAATGATGGAGAGGGTGATGGTATATGATTGTGAGTGGAAATTAGAGAGGGAGTTAATCTGTGAGAGAATGTGATTTCATAGTAAGGGTAGGATGTACTGGTCTAATGGAATTGCAGTTTCTGTTTTGTCTCATGTAGTTTCTGTTTTCTTCATCAATCTGATAAGTTTAAATATTGAAATTGCTGCCGTCTACAGTTCACAGGTTAACAGCCTTTCTTGTTACTGTGTATGTGCTGCTTAATTTATATATAAACATTGTAGCTCTTCTCAGTAGCTAGATAGAGTTGTAGCTTTTCATCAAATTAAGCAGTAGCTTCTTTACAGTCTATTTTAGAATGATGCCAAGTGGTGATAGCCTTATTCTTCTGTGCTTTTCTTTGAAGTTTAGAAATGTTCTTATCTTACTATGAACTGAACTAGTAATTACACATGATTAAGCTGTTAGTTTTCAAACTGGTTTATATTCAGATCATTGTGAACTCTCTCGTTTAGTCTTTTTAATCTTGATGTATCTTGGAATAATATACTAGTTAGCTGTTTATCTAATGTCATAAAAATTCATAATATCTAATAAGATTAGTAGGTTTTGCTAACAAAGTCCTTATATTTGAATAAAGTAACATTCATTTTAGTGGAAAATTGTTTTAACGTTAATTAAGCTATAACAAGCATTCTGAGAGTATTGCATGGCAATACATAGTCCCCTACCGGTTAAAAATTCATTATACTGGAACAAAATGCTAACTTATTCTATAACTTGTCATGGTGTAAACAAATAGAAAATATCAAGTCAATATCTTCAAGCATGACTAAAAACAGTGTGGAAAACTGAATATATGAGAGAATTTTTTCAAGTCCAAGGACCATAACTCTGCACAAAATTATCAGACTGAAACAAAAATTTGAACTTGATCTGTAACTTGTCATGATAAAACTATATACCAATTGTCAATCAATATCTTCAAGCATGATGAAAAAAAGTGTGGAAAACCTATAACACTCTAACATTAGATATGATGTAATACAATGTATATCTATTTTCGAATTACAATCAAATATAATAATAGTTCCAAATATTTTTTTCTTTCATTTGTCACAAACTAATATAGATTTGTAACTTATCTATAAAATGTCAACAACTTTTATCTACACAATGTAATGTAATGAAATATATACTTTAATAAAAATAGATTATTATCTAATTAAAGGATTTCACTTAATAAAAAAAAAATATATATATATACATGTAGCAATCAGAAAATTAGTTTATACAAAATAATATATAAACCTGCCACAAAATTCCTCAAACAATTTACCAAAGAATGTCTTTTAAAAAATGAGTTATCTCCCTTTGTACAGATATATGGTTTAACATAGTACTCTTAACATTAGTTATGGATTTTTTTTATGGACCATAACTTTGGACTAAATCATCAGACCGAAACAAAATTCGAACTTGATCTATAACTTGTCATTATAAAACTATATACCAAATATCAAATCAATATCTTCAAGAACGAAGAAAAAAAGTGTGGAAAGCTGAGTTGCCAGACTGACGGATGGATGGACAGACAGACGGACAGAGTGCAAACCTAAAGTCCCTTTCGACTTCGTCGGTAGGGGACTAATTAAAAATTGTTAGCTACCCCTCTCTGTGATTAATGTTAGATAACTCTTATTTTCTCAACAATCTATCATTATGGGGAGATAATCAGGGCTTCCAAAATTATTGTTAGCCAGCCGGACATTTCATATATTATCCCGATTTAAATCCCTTACATGCCTTAAGACTAAATAAACAAAAGGCAATTATGGTAATCAGTTGCCGAGTTGGCCATCCCAATGATTGACATTAAAATTTGAATTTTAAAATTTGAAGTTCTGAGATCTTCTGACGTAAACTGTTAAATTGGCAGTGCATCATTCGAACTGTGCAACATCAGCGTACTTATAATATATCTGACTTAGACTCTATATTTGTGCAAAATAATGTTGTCAAAATCTTTACTTTCGTTAAATAAAGGCAACAGTAGTATACCGCTGTTCGAAACTCATAAATCTATAGAGATAAAAACAAATCAGGGTTACAAACTAAAACTGAGGGAAACGCATCAAATATAAGAGGAGAACAACGACACAACAAAAACACAACATTAAAATGTAACACACACAGAAACGAACTAAAATATAACAATGGCCATTTTCCTGACTTGGTACAGGACATTTTAAGAAAAAAAATGGTGGGTTGAACCTGGTTTTGTGGCATGCCAAACCTCCCGCTTTTATGGCAACGTCAAACACAACACCAAATCGACAACATCACATGACAGGACCACAATACAATTAAATGGGAGAACATATAGGACAAAGAAACACACGAATAATAGCTAACAAAAGGTACTAGGCTTAAAATTCAATACGCCAGACGTGCGTCTCGTCCACACAAGACCAACCAGTGACGCCCAGATGAAAAAAGTCTGAAAGCCAAAACAAGTACAAAGCTGAAGAGCACCGAGGACCAAAACTTCCAAAAAGTTGCGCCTAACACGGCCAGGGTTTTCTGCCTGGGACAAGAACATCCTTATTATTTAGAATAATTTATAATTTTGCAAACAGTAAATTTTATAAAATGACTATATAATAGATATACATGATAAAACCGAAGTGGGGACTAACTACAGAATAAAAACGGATACATTACATAAAACAACTTAATCCAACACATAAAAATACACAGCCGAGTTAGCCAAAGCCTCAACGCACAAAGTGACGTCACATTTGAAATTCTAAAAAAACTTACAAAGTGACGTCACATTTGAATTTGTAAAAATATTTCCCAAAAATAAGATAGGATTAGGATTGATTCAAGATTAGATTTGTAATACTGACATTACATTTATTAATAACAATGAAAATTACAATACTTATTAATATCAAATTGTGGTAGTAATTAGATAATTAATTGTAATATCTAGCTATGTCGGTGTTTCTTCTGAATCAAACTGTAAACCAAATATATTGTATAAATTACAGGGGAGTATAGGTAGCGCGGTAGTATTTGCATTCCAGAATTTAGGTTGTTCTTTTGTTACTTAAGTCAATGTATCCGAACAGTGTGATTGACAAAAAATACAGTATCAACTGAACATACTTTCCCAAACTGAGGGATGAGTCAGGTGTAGGAAAATATGAAATAATTTTACATACAGATGAAAATGAATTTTTGAGAATTTTTGAGAATTTTGTATTCACTGCACGATAAAAGACCTAAATGCACTAGTGGCCTTAGGTTTTTAAAAATAGCAAAAAAAGTAAACGGTCATGATACACATTCAAATTCATTTCTGAATAGTAAAATGAAAGTACTTCAGTTAACTGTGAATGTAGAATTTTTGGCAGTGTTAGAAAGTGGTGAAAATTCTAAAAAGGCTATCATTGTCCCTTATGGGCCAGGAAATACTACCGTGCCACCTATAAGTAAGTGAAGTGAAAGTGAAAAATGATTAAGGTAGATTCATGGTATACCACCATCTTGGATTGTACAATCCCAGTACAAAATCGGTCTAGATATTTGCCCAAATCTGCAAATTTGGAGACAGATTTGCAATTTATTGGTTAGACTGTTTATTTATATAAAGAAAACTTGATGATTTATTGTATAACTCAAAATATTTAAACAAATATCAAATTTTGTGTTTTTAGAATCATTTTAAATAAGCCATTTAAGAGGAGATAACTCTTTTAGTAAAAATTATATACTGGACTGATAGGGACATTTTAAATTTTTACTTGTAGCAAGAAAACAAGTTCGGCGACACCATTTTTTCTTTTTATTTTCTTAAAACATTTTATAAAACCTATCTTCTCACAATTTATTTCAAAATTCTATCTCATAGATTTTTTTTATGCACATAAATATGTTTTTTCATGAACAATCTAACCAAATTTAGGCAATTTTCAACGACTCGTAGCTTGGAAAATAGCACGGTGACCCATACTCTATATTTTTGAAAAAAAGCATAGTAAAATCTTCATTTTGGCAAAGTATAAGAAAATTCTATCTCAAGAAATATATACCTTTGATCTACCTTAAATGGCAAATAAATTCCACAACTTCCGGTTCAAGACGTGTGAAACAATTCCGGAAAATATTCCACTACAGCTGAGCGAGAGAGTGCGCGTCTTGCAGTTAAAAAAGCTGTTAAAATTACGGTGTTAATTAATTTCAAAATTCCCTTCACGTTTGTCACAAAAGATTTAATTTTATGTTTAGATAACTCCAATTACAAACTAACGATTTCGCCGGACATTTTGACCTCCTTGTAGATCTTGTCTTGCTGGTAATTTTTGCTATTAAAAGTTACCTATCTACTTAATAATTCAATATAATAGGCAAACATTGAAAGTAGTAAAATTTGTCATATTAAGGCGATATCTCCTATAAGAAATCATTTGACCGTTTTGACGGAGATTCACTTGTTGTCGAGTATCAAGTTGCGAGTTGTGAGAATCGAGTTGCGAGTTACGAAAGTCGAGTTGCGAGTTACGAAAGTCAAGTTGCGAGTTAAGAAAGTCGAGTTGCGAGTTAAGAAAGTCGAGTTGCGAGTTAAGAAATTCGAGTTGCGAGTTAAGAAAGTCGAGTTGCGAGTTACAAAAGTCGAATTGTGGAAAAGAAACTATTTTAACTATTTGGTGTAACTGTTTAACATTTTAGAATGATGATTGCTTATAAAATTGTATACAGTATTGTTGATTATTTTTGTTGTTTGGACTTCATCTGAGTCTCTTGTAAAAATAAAATGGATTGCTTTTAAAATCACTACATATGGTATTTTCTGAAGAAGCAGATATCCTTTTGAAATACAGCGGATAGCTTGCAGTTTAATCATTATTAAATTTCATAGCTAGCACTGTCATATTAATCGTAAAGGGAGAAAGCAACAAACTATAATAATACATATATGTAAAAGTGTAACAGTAAATTTGGTCCGGTAGTAAAATTTGTCCGCCAGACTTTTTTTCCTAGTTAATCAAGTCCATGACCATTATTTTACTAGGAATTTAAGTCCCAGGACAAATTTTCCTAGGAAAATAAGTCCATAGCTAGTAAAATATGTCTGGCACTTATTTTCCTAGGAAAAATTGTCCCAAGACATGTTTTTCAGGTAATTTTTATTATATTTTAAAAATTATTGAAAATAAAAAAAACATTTTCTTAGTTAAGATTGGAAAGTTTCATTAATTTTTCCTATTAAAATAAAAGGACATTGCCGGACGTTATAACCTAGGCATGTTAATGACATGGACATGATGTCCTAAGAAAATTAGTCTGGGAACATAAATTTTATCAAAATATTAATACACAACTCTTAAACAATATTAAAACATAACATTTAAATTTAACTTTCAAAATAAAGGGAATGGACGTTTTTACCTAGGAATATTAATGACATGGACATGATTTCCTAGGAAAATTAGTCTGGGGACATGAATTTTATTAAAATATTAATGCACAACTCTTAAACAATATTAAAACATAAAAATTGAATTTCCATTGTTAACATGTAAATAATTTGTTTCATTAAAATTTTCCTTTTAAAATAAATGGCATGGACGTTTTTACCTAGGAATATTAATGACATGGACATGATTTCCTAGGAAAATTAGTCTGGGGACAAACATTATATTAAGAAAATTGATACACAACTCTTAAACAATATTAAAACATAACATTTATATTTACCTTTTAAAATAATATTAAAACTTAATATTTAAATTTCCAATATTGTTTAAATGTAAATGATTTGATTCATTAATATTTTTCCTATAAAAAAAGGACATGGACGTTTTTACCTAGGAATATTGATGACATGGACTTGAATTCCTAGGAAAATTAGTCTGGGGACATAAATTACTAACATCGGACTAAAAATACTAGTAAATTCTGTAACCATGGACTTTTTATACTAGTAATATGTGTCCGCCCGGACATATTTTACCAGGACAAATTTATCTCTTACAAAAGGCCCCTTCTGCAGATTTCGTTTAGAGTGGGCTTTTTGGGGCAGCTGCAGAGCCGGGCAATATTCGTTAGGGACCGCAAAATTTATGACACTCAAAATTGTGGACGTTAAAATTATATATGTCGAGACCTACATTGGCTAGAGATGAAGGGGAAATGATGGGCGTGCATAAAACCAGTTTAAACCCGCCGCATTTTTGTGTCTGACCTAGGTTAGGAACCTTTAGCCTTTGTTGCTCTGTTATATTTTTCAATTTTGGTTCATCTTTATATTTAGGAGCATAGAATGGTGTCCATATTCTTGATCTAATGAACATTGTGTTTCGGGGACTGCTCGGGGTTCCCTCTAGGTGTGTGATTTCTCGCTGTGTTGAAGACTCAATGACCTTTGGTTGAATTGTATATTTTGGTTGGGTTGCTGTCTCTTTGACTCATTCCCCGTTTTTATTCTTTAGTCTATACATCTAGCTGTCAAAGATACTATTGTAAAAACTACATTTGCACCATTTTACAGGTAAGATTTAATTGGAAAGTTTAAAATGTTTATTGCTCCATCGTGAATAAGAATTTTTTTAAGTATTCCTCCTGGGTATTGGGTAACTTATAAAACTGAGTCACTTAGTTTTAAAATTATATAGTGTTCACATGTTTGAGATTGTCAATTAAGAATTAGTAAAACGGTTTCCGTTAAGTTTCCAAGAATTTAATTTGGATTGTTTCACATTTTTCATGTTTGGGCCGTTTATAGCAGACTACAAAGCATGGATTTTGAAGGCCATACGGTTGTCTATGGTGGCTTTAATCCACTTCATTTGACCTTGCCGATGATAGTGCCTCATTGCCAATCATACACATCTCCTTATTTTTATATAGTAGAAATGATTCTGTAGCTTTCTAGGACCACACATATATGGGCAGTTATCCAGTGTAAATTAGTACGTCTGACCTGTTGCTTTCAAGTCATGTGTTAGAACAAACTTTTTGTTTAACTATTGTGTATAGTGCTTTCTTTTAGTTTTTATGATGTCGTTAATTTATAACAGAACTGAGCTTTAACATTATTAGTGGTTACGATGACCTATTCTGGAAATATGCTTTATTATGCAATACAAACTATGCTTTAAAGTTATTATTAAAATTATCTTTTGAATAAAACTATTTTTATACTATTTACCTGTACTTATATGTTGTACCTGTATTATTGGCGTAAATGATTTTTTTTATTTTGGCGCAAATTGACTGAATACTTATAGTATCTGCGAAATACACTTGAAAAGTAAACACTGAACCATGAAAATGAGGTCAAGTTCAGATGACCACTGCCAGTTGGGAGGTGCACACCTTACAGTCATTCCATATCAAACATAGAAGACCTATTACTTATAGTATCTGCGATATGGACTTGACCACAAAAACATAACTTTCTTCACTGATCCATGAAATGGTCAACGTCAATTAAAAACCGTGTGACAGGCATGGGGACGTTGCAGGATACGCACATACCAAATATAGTTATCATTTTACTTATAAGGGAGAAATTAATATAGCAGGTCCAAAAGGCTCAATAATTACAAATGGACTATCTATGGGTTCTTTGTAGTGATTTTATTAACACTGACTGCATATTATTAAACCCTTTAACATATATAACAATAATTAATACACATTACATAGACAACACATAACAACATAAAACAGACTTATAGACAAAGGGGAATAAGTCAAATATATTACAATGCTATTACTTCTCTTATATTAAAATGAAATGCACAAATAACGTCTCATAATCATGTGCTCTAAAGTATTATAAATAAGCATAAGCACTAGCAATCTCAATGTTAATGTTCTGACAAATTACATATAAACACTATAACACTATACAGTTAAAAAATAGATAAGACAATCACAAACTAAAACATGTAACACATTCCTTACCATATACTAAATACTAAAGAGTGAAAATCATAGCTGTATCAAATATAATAAGCAAAGAACTAAATATATGACTAAAACTATATTAACTAATACTAATCATATTTGATTACCAATCAATCAAATATGACTCTGGCACATTTACATAACAAAAAATCTTAATAACTTTTTTTTTCAAGTAGTCATTTAACCATGAAAAGAGGCCAAGGCCATTGGACAGATGACTGACGGAAAGTTCGTAAGATACTTAAGGCCTCTGTATACAAAGTATGAAGCACCCAGGTCCGAAATACTAAGCTTTTATATAAAGTCAAGAGCTAACGTCGCCGCCGCCACCGGATCACTAACCCTAAATTTTCTGCGACAGAAGACGCAGGTGAGACAACTAGACTTATCAACATTTTACAAACCAAAAATCGAGGTAAAATCAAGGTGCCCCCGAAAGGCAAAACATAAAGTACTCCACACGGGACACCTACCGTTTGGCTTATGAAAGAATGTATTCCGTGATGAGTTATCCGATGGTATCACATTGGGACACTGAGGTTTAAGACAATTTAGTATTTGGAGACAGTTTTTCCTACGTTTTATCTTAAACTATGCCACTGGAAACCCTTTATAGTTCAAAACCTTTCATGTAGACAGCAACCCTTAATCCGGAGTTATGTATTTTACCATAAAAGAAAGGCGGAACATACCTAAAAGAGGATTAAAAACTGTCTGATCAAAGACAAATTTACAAACCCATTTCCAAATTAAACCACGAAAAAATACAAGACAAACCACCGTTCACATATGCAACATCACAAACCCATCATTCAATGTCTGATTTAATTGCTTTGGAAGGATAAGTATATTTGGTTCACCATGTGGAAAGAATCGTGTTGCTCATGATTTACAAATTGATAATGCATCTTTTATTTTCCATATTCGGGAAAAAGGATGATACTATGGTAATAACACCGTGTTATTCAAGCTTTTGGCTATTCATTCGAATTTCAAGATATCTCAAATAAAAATTGCGGTTTTTATCCAACGAATCATAGGTTTGAACGTTGTTTTCAATTTAGACTTGTTTATATTTTTTCGTTTGGGCTTGTATTATATTTGCCTTCGGGTTTATATGATCCGTTCATCCTACTTTGACTCCTCAAAAT